GCCTGTTTCTGGCACTTTGGTAGGCTGAGGTGGGCAGATCACCTGAGGCCAGGAGTTCAAGACCTGCCTGACCAACATGGAGAAACCCCATCTCAGCTAAAAATACAAAATTAGCCTGGCATGGTGGTACATGCCTGTGATCCCACCTACTCGGGAGGCCGAGGCAGAAGAATTGCATGAACCAGAGAGGTGGAGGTTGCGGTGAGTCGAGATAGTGCCATTGCACTCCAGCCTGGGCAACAAGAGAAACTCCCGGGATTATAGGCATGCACCACTATGCCTAGCTAATTTTGTATTTTTAGTAGTGACGGGGTTTCTCCATGTTGGTCAGGCTGGTCTGGAACTCCCGACCTCAGGTGATCCACCAGCCTTGGCCTCCCAAAGTGCTGGGATTACAGGCATGAACCACCACACCCAGCCTCTCTTCTGTTTTTCTATTCTAAGGTCTCATGTTTAACCTGTGTACTTTGCTTAAAAATTCCAGAAACTGGCCTTGAAAATCTAAATATAGGCCAGGCGTGGTGGCTCACACCTGTAATCCTAGCACTTTAGGAGGCCAAGGCAGGCGGATTGCATGAGTTCAGGAGTTGGAGACCAGCCTGGGCAACACGGTGAAACCCCGTCTCTACTAAAATACAAAAAAATTAGCCAGGTATGGCGCCATGCGCCTGTAGTCCCAGCTACTTGGGAGGCTGAGGCAGGAGAGTTCTCTTGAACCCAGGGGGCAGAGGTTGCAGTGAGCCGAGGTCGCGCCACTATACTCCGGCCTGGGAGACACAGTGAGACTCCCGTCTCCAAACGAAACCAAACCAAAAAAAGAAAATCTAAATATAAAACCAAAGTTGTGGAACGCCCCATCCCAGGCAAATAATCCACAATCCTGTTTTGGTCAAGCTGACACCCGCCAGACCAGCAGGTGGCCCATTACTCAAACTAGTAATGGAAACCAGACATGCTGACTTGTGCATCTGAACTCCATTTCCTGACCCCTAGCTGCAGCTGTACCTCGGTAGAACACCCTTTTCTTTCCTGTCTTGATGATTGTTGGAGTAGTCTGTAAGTTTCCCTAGTAAATGCTTTGGACTGATTGCTCTGGTAATTAGTGTTTTCTTGAAATCCCCACTGGTCCCATCTTGGGATGATTTAGGGCATTCCTTTGTGGGAACTCCCCTGCCTCTGCTTTTGGGGAGACTCTAGCCAGGACAAAACAGATTGGAAGGTCAAAAGTGAGCTGAGGAGGCTGAGGTGCCTGAGGAAGTTTAGAAGCAGCACATCTTTGCATTCTTTTAGAAATCCTGGGTCACGGCCAGGCACAGTGACTCACACCCATAATCCCAACACTTTGGGAGGTCAAGGCAGGTGGATCACTTCAGGTCAGGAGTTTGAGACCAGCCTGGCCAATTGGCAAAACCCCATCTCTACTAAAACTACAAAAATGTGGTGGGCGTCTGTAATCCTAGCTACTCAGGAGGCTGAGGCAGGAGAATCGCTTGAACCTGGGAGGCAGAGGTTGCAGTGAGCTGAGATCGTGCCACTGCACTCCAGCCTGGGCAACAAAGTGAGACTCTGTTTGAAAACAAAGAAATACTGGGCCGGGCGTGGTGGCTCACGCCTGTAATCCCAGCACTTGGGGAGGCCGAGGTGGATGGATGATGAGGTCAGGAGATCAAGACCATCCTGGCTAACACAGTGAAACCCCGTCTGTACTAAAAGTACAAAAAAATTAGCCATGCGTGGTGGCAGGCACCTGTAGTCCCAGGAGGGGGGGCTGAGGCAGGAGAATGGCGTGAACCTGGGAGGTGGAGTTTGCAGTGAGCCAAGATCCAGCCTGGGTAATAGTGCAAGACTCCATCTCAAAAACAAAGAAAAAGAAAACAGAAATACTGGGTCACACAAGCATTGACTATAGTTACCACTGCATGGTAGCATGGTAGGATTACTGAGAGTCTCATTCTCCCTTTTTTTTTTTTATTTTTTTTTTTGAGACACTGTCTTGCTCTGTCACCCAGGCTGGAGTGCATGGCACAATTATAGCTCACTGCAGCCTCCAATTCCTGGACTCCAGGGGACTCACCTCCTGGGACTTCAGGTGTGCACCACCATGCCTGGCTGATTTTTTTACTTTTTGGAGGGACACTGTCTCACTATGTTGCCCTGGCTGGTCTCAAACTCCTGGCCTCAAGTGACCCTCCCAAAATGCTGGAATTACAGGCATGAGTGACCACACCCGGCCTAATTTTCCCTCTTCGTGGTGTTTTTCCAGATTTCTGACACTGAACATATGTTACTTTTGTAATCACCGGGGGTGGAAAAGGAAATGTTTGCTTTTTCAAAATGTTCTAATTTCTCAGTGCTTGATTCAAAGATCCGCCAAGCACAGGGTTTTGGTGCTGAGCTGTGGGGCGAGGAGTTGGGAAAGGGATGGGGAGTACTGCTGAGGGAAGAGGAAAATGGGGCCAGGTGCCATTACATCACACCTGCAATCCCAGCACTGGGAGATCCAGGTGGTAGATCACCTGAGGTCAGGAGTTCAAGACCAGCTTGGGCAACAATGCAAAACCCCATCTCTACTAAAAATTAAAAAATTAGCCAGGTGTGGTGGCACACGCCTGTAGTTTCAGCTACCTGGGAGGTTGAGGCACAACAATCACATGAACTTGGGAGGTGGAGGTTGCAGTGAGCGAGATCACACCACTACACTCCAGCCTGGGGGACAGCCTGGGACTCTATCTCAAAAAAAGAAAAAAAAGGCCGGGCGCAGTGGCTCACGCCTGTAATCCCACCACTTTGGGAGGCCGAGGCGGGCAGATCACCTATCACCTGAGGTCAGGAGTTCGAAACCAGCCTGACCAACATGGTAAAACCCCATTTCTTCTAAAAATACAAAATTAACTGGGCTTGGTGACACATGCCTTAAATCCCAGCTACTTGGGAGGCTGAGGCAGGAGAATCGATTGAACCTGGGAGGCGGAGGTTGCAGGGAGCTGAGATTGCGCCATTGCACTCCAGCCTGGGCAACGAGAGCAAAACTCTGTCTCAAAATAATAAAGGAAAGAAATTTTAAAAAAATAAAGTGGATCCTGGTACAAGGTTTACAAGGTATGTAAGAATGCCTCCATTATTTTAAATCAACTCTTAAGTTCTGAGGAAACCCAGGCGGGGTCTTAAGGACTTTGTTTTACCTTCTAGCTTTTGCTCGAAGGCCCCACTTTCTCCAGGTCTTTAATTTTTTTTTTTTCTTTTTTTGAGACGGAGTCTGGCTCTGTCACCCAGGCTGGAATGCAGTGGCGCAATCTCAGCTCACTGCAAGCTCCGCCTTCTGGGTTCACGCCATTCTCCTGCCTCAGCCTCCCGACTAGCTAGCTACACATTCATCAGAGCTACTGCAAGGTATTGGTGAAGGCTCACTGCTGTGGTTGCACATGGAGACCTGGCCTGCTGTAGGAAGATCTGTTCTCAGAGCCGCTTTCCTTGGCGGGGAGCGGGGGTGGCATACTTTCCAGGATGTAAAGTTTTGGGTCAAGACCCAAGGAGCAAGCTGGCAGGCCCCTTCTACACTCTTGTTTCCTGGGTTCCTGGCCCAAATGAAGGCTTGTATGTGGGTTTCTTTTTCTCTCACCTGACTACTTCCCTCCCTCCAGCCCTGTATGCTGGTGGTGCAGGAACCCCCTGTAACTGAGTGGGGATGGCGGGGAAGGGACACTTGTGTTCTGCCAAACTTAAAGGAACTCCCCTTCCCCTGCCAGAGTTCACGAGAAGGGAAGTAATCTCAGGGGTGGAGGCAGGTGCATAGGAGCTTCCTCCCCCCACTATCTGAGCACCTCAGCAGAGCTGGGGTGCACAAGTCCCATCTGCCACCCCAGAATTCAGTCTGATAATAGGAGGGCAACAAGCCAAGAAGACACATGTAATGCAACCATAAAAAAGAATGCAATCAGCTGGGCATGGTGGCTCATGCCTGTAATCCTAGCACTTTGGGAGGCTGAAGCAGGAAGAACCTCTTGAGCCCAGGAGTTCAAGACCAGCCTGAGCAACGTGGCAAAACCCCGGCTCTACAAAAAAATACAAAAATTAGCCGGGCACGGTGGCTCACACATGTAATCCCAGCATTCTGGGAAGCCGAGGCAGGTGGATCACTTGAGGTCAGAAGTTCGAGACCAGCCTGGCCAATATAGTGAAACCTCCTCTCTAAAAATACAAAAATTAGCCGGACATGATGGCTGGCGCCTGTAGTCCCAGCTACCCGGGAGGCTGAGGCAGGAGAATCACTTGAACCTGGGAAGCGGAGGTTGCAGTGAGCCGAGATTGTGCCACTGCACTCCAGCCTGCGTGACAGAGCAAGACTTCATCTCAAAAAACAAAACAAATAAAAATTAGCCAGGCGTGTTGGCATGCGCCTACAGTCCCAGCTACTCGGGAGATTGAGGTGGAAGGATCACTTGAGCCCCAGAGGTTAAGGCTGCAGTGAGCTGTAATTTCGCCACTGCACTCCAGACTGGGTGACAGAGCGAGACCTTGTCTCAAAATTAAAAAAAAAAAAAAAGAAAGAAAAGATAATAAATCATGTCCTTTGCAGCAACATGATTTTTATATTTTTTTATTTTTTATTTATTTATTTTTTTGAGATGGAGTCTTGCACCCGTCTCGCAGGCTGGAGTGCAGTGGCGCGATCTGGGCTCACTGCGACCTCCGCAATCTCTCTCTTTTTTTTTTTTTTTTTTTCCTTTGAGACGGAATTTCACTCTGTCACCCAGGCTGGAGTGCAGTGGCGCTATCTCTGGTCACTGCAACCCCAACCTCTCGGCTTCAAGCGATTCTCCTGCCCGGGTCTCCCAAGTAGCTGGGACTACAGCCGCGCGTCACCACGCGCAGCTAATTTTTGTATTTTTAGTAGAGATGGAATTTCACCATGTTGGGCAGGCTGGTCTCAAACTCCCGACCTGAGTCTCGGCCTCCCCAAGTGCGGGTATTACAGGCGTGAGCCACCGCGCCTGGCGAATTGCTGTTTTAAAAATACACACACACACACTCTTATAGTTTCTTGGTGGACTTGTCAATTCAGAAAGTATCTGTAGTATCAATGAAAGTGAAAAATGCAACAGGTCCTTTGGACACGATATTCCACTAATACAAATTTATCCTTGTACATAGACATCAAGAAGCATTACTAAGTAAAAAAGTAGAGTTCTCTGACTACCAAGTCATTCGCTCAGCACCAGATTCACAGGCCTCGCCCCGCCTCAACCACGCCTTCATGGCGTGGTCTTCTCCCTGTCTCCCTCCGCCGTCCCCACCTTCCGAGCGTCTTCGTCGTTCCCCAGCCACGCCCTTGGCGCTGGGTCCTGTTGCAGTCTCGTTTCCGTGCTGACTACGTCTTCTCGGCTAGGTCCTTGTCGCCATCCCCGCCCCCAGGGTCTCGTCCCGCCCCAGCCCCGCCTTCCAGCGGTTGTCCGGACCTCTCCGGGCCCCGCAAGCCTCGTCCCGCCCTAGCCACACCTTCCAGGCGTGGTTCTTGTCTGCAGCCCCACCTAGGCCTCGCCCCGGCTTCCGGGCTTGGTCCTCGCCTCCAGCCCCGCCTCCGATCCGCGCCCCACCCCAGCCACGCCTTTTGGACTTGGTCCTCGTCTCTAGCCCCGCCCCCGAACCTCGCCCCAGCCCCGCCTTCCGGACTTGGGTCCGGTCTCTGGCTCCGTTCCTGAGCCTTGCCCAACTCCAGCCACGCCTTCCAGGCTCGGTCCTCGTCTCTAGCACCGCCTCCGATACTCGCCCCACCCCAGCCACGCCTTTCGGACTTGGTCCTCGTCTCTAGCTCCGCCCCCGAGCTTCGCCTCACTCCAGCCCCGCCTTGCGGACTTGGTCTTAGTTCCCAGTCGCGGCCAAATCACGCCTCAGCCACGTCCCGCAAGACTCTCACTGCCTCAGTCACGCTTTCCAGTCTGGTTTCTGGTCCCCATCCGCGGCTGGTCCGACCCTGGGACCCAATCACTGGGCAGCGAGAGGAAAGTCAAATTTCTCGACCGGCTACGGGAAGGTCGCGGCACCCGCCCTGTCAGCCGCCTCGGCGCCCCCGCAGGGACCCCCTCAGGTCTCCTTAACCGGAAGCGGAAGTGCGTGTCGGCGGGATCATGGCGACTTTGGTCGAACTGCCGGACTCAGTCCTGCTCGAGATCTTCTCTTACCTCCCGGTACGGGACCGGATCCGCATCTCCAGGTGCGGCCCCGCCTCCGGGGGGGGGAGGGCCGGGCGGAGGGCGCACCTGGCACCTGGAGATGCGATGTGGCCTGGGGCTGGGGTCGTTCTAACCGCGCGTCCCCTCCCCCAGGGTCTGTCACCGCTGGAAGAGACTGGTGGACGACCGGTGGCTGTGGCGACATGTCGACCTGACGCTCTACACGGTACGCACGGCTGGCCAGGCGGGCCTGGGCCGCGGTCGCGGTGCCCGGACCCCAAAGACCACCTCTCCCACCCTGGGACAGTATGTCGGTACCCGGGCTGGGGATTTAGAGCCAGGTGGTCCTGGGCCTATCTCGGCATCATCGCCTGCCTGCTCCTCTTCGACCTCAGGGCCTCAATTTCCCCATCCATGCAATGGGGATAAAGGACAGTACCTGCCTCACGGGGCTATTGTGGGACTTCACTGAGATCAGGCAGGGAAAGGGCTTAGAACAGTCTGGCACATATTTATCTTTCGATAAATGCTAATTTATGACTATGTTATCAGGTTTTTGTTTTGTTTTTGAGACGGGGGTCTCGCTCTGCTGCTCAGGCTGGAGTGCAGTGGTGCGATTGTAGCCTCCACCTCCCAAGCTCAAGCGATCCTCTCACGTCAGCCTCTTGAGTAGCTGGGACCACAGGCGCTCGCCACTACACCCGCTAATCTTTTATTTTTTGTGGAGATAGAGTCTCACTATGTTGCCCAGGCTGGTCTCGAACTCCTGGGCTCAAGTGATCCTCCAGACTTAGCCTCCCAAAGTGCTCAGATTACAGGCATGAGCCACTGCAACTGGCCCACCGAAAACATTTATAGATATATTTGTTACCCTTTTTGAAACTATTTTCATAGATAACTGCTATTATAAAGTGGATTTGCACCCTTCCTTTTACGTTACTTCATATGTGTGTGTTCATAAACAATTATGTATTAGTAATGTATTTCTAAACTTCAGGTAATGCTGTTCTATTTAGATAGTGTTCTACTTTTAGACTATTTTACTGTATATATCCATCTGTATATATACAGTATTAATACAGTATTATACAATATTATACGTTTAATACAGTATTGCTTTTGAGGTTCTTTTTTTAAGGACAGTCTTGCTGTGTTGCTCAGGATAGTCTCGAACTCCTGGACTCAAGTTGTCCCCCAACCTCAAGTCTCCTGGAGTGCTGGGGTTATAGGTGTGAGCCACAGCGCCTGGCCTGATATTATGAAACTTAGAGTATTCTCAGTTGTTGGTTTTGCGAGGAAAAGTTGATTCATCCATTGGTTTTGTGTGCATTTATGCTCTGCAGTGTATCTTTCTGTAATTTATTTTTTTGAGATGGATCTCACTCTGTCACCCAGGCTGGGGTGCAGTGGCGAAATGATAGCACACTGCAGCCTCAACCTCCGGGGCTCAGCGATCTTCCTGCCTCAGCCTCCTGAGAAGATTCATTAGAACATGTTTCTTTCTCTCTTGGTTCATGATATGGTTTGGCTGTGTCCCCAACCAAATCTCAACTTCTCAATTTCTCAATTTCTAAGCAGCAAAGCATTCAAGAGGTGACTTGGGTACTGTTAAAAGTATTCAGTTTTATAAGGGAAGCAGAGCTGAAAAGTTTGGAAATTTGTAGCCTGACTATGTGATAGAAAAGAAAAACCCATTTTCTAGGGAGAAATTCAAGCCAGCTGTAGAAATTTACATAAGTAGCAAGGAGTCTAATGGGCTATAGGGAAAATGTCTCCAGGCCATGTCAGAGACCTTCATGGCATCCCCTCCCATCTCAGGCCTGGAAGCCCAGGAGGGAAAAGTGGTTTCCTGGGCCAGGCCCAGGGTGCCCGTGCTGCGTGCACCCTGGGACTTGGTGCCCTGTGTCCTAGCTGCTCCAGCTGTGTCTGAAAGGGGCCAATGTATAACTCAGGCTGTGGCTTCAGAGGGTGGAAGCCCCAAGTCTTGGCAACTTCCACGTGATCTTGAGCCTGCTGGTGCACAGAAGCCAAGAACTGAGGTACGGGGCCGTGCACGGTGGCTCACGCCTATAATCCCAGCACTTTGGGATGCCAAGGCAGGCGGATCACTTGAGGTCAGGAGTTTGAGACCAGCCTGGCCAACATGGTGAAATTCCATCTCTACTAAACATACAACAAATGCGTGGTGGCACATGCTTGTAATCCCAGCTACTTGGGAGGCTGAGGCAGGAGAATCGCTTGAACCCGGGAGGCAGAGGTTGCAGTGAGTCGAGATCATGCCATTACACTCCAGCCTGGGTGACAAGAGCAAAACTCCATCTCCAAAAAAAAAAAAAAGAATTGAAGTTTGGGAACCTCCGCCTAGATTTCAGAAGATGTATGAAAACGCCTGGATGTCCAGGCAAAAGTTTGCTACAGGGGTGGGGCCCTCATGGAGAGCCTCTGCTAGGGCAGTGTGGAAGGGAAATGTGGGGTCAGAGCCCCCACACAGAGTCCCTACTGGGGCACTGCCTAGTAGAGCTGTGAGAAGAGGGCCACTGTCCTCCAGATTCCAGAATGGTAGATCCACCCACAACTTGCATCATGCACCTGGAAAAACTTCAGACACTCAATACCAGCCTGTGAAAGCAGCCGGTAGGGAGGCTATACCTTGTAAAGCCACAAGGGGCAGAGCTGCCCAAGACCATGGGAACTCACCTCTTGCATCAGTGTGACCTGGATGTGAGACCTGGAATCAAAGGAGATCATTTTGGAGCTTTAAAATTTGACTGCCCCACTGGATTTCAGACTTGCATGGGCCATGTAACCCCTTTGTTTTGGCCAGTTTCTCCCATTTGGAATGGCTGCATTTACCTGATACCTGTACCCCCATTGTATCTAGGAAGTAACTAGCTAGCTTTTGATTTTACAGGCTCATAGGTGGAAGGGACTTGCCTTGTCTCAGATGAGACTTTGGATTGTGGACTTTTGGGTTAATGCTGAATGAGTTAAGACTTTGGAAGACGGTTGGGAAAGCATGATTGGTTGCGAAATGTGAGGACATGAGACTTGGAGGGACCAGGGGTGGTATGATATGGTTTGGCTGTGTCCCCACCCAAATCTCAACTTGAATTGTATTTCCCAGAATTCCCATATGTTGTGAGAGGGACCCAGGGGGAGATAATTGAATCATAGGGGCCGGTCTTTTGCATGCTATTCTTGTGATAGTGAATAAGTCTCACGAGATCTGATGGTTTTATCAGGGGTTTCCACTTTTGCTTGGTTCTCATTTTCTTAATTTTTTTTTTTTTTTTTTTTTTTTTTTTTTGAGATGGAGTCTTGCTCTGTTGCCAGGCTGGAGTGCAGTGGCACAATCTTGGCTCACTGCAACCTCTGCCTCCTGGGTTCAAGCGATTCCCCTGCCTCAGCTTCCTGAGTAGCTGGGACTATAGGCACGTGCCACCACACCAAGCTAATTTTTTGTATTTTTAAAATTATTTATTTTTCTTTAGACAGAGTCTTGCTCTGTCACCAGGCTGGAGTGCAGTGGTGCAATCTCGGCTCACTGGAACCTCTGCCTCCCGTGTTCAAGCAATTATCCTGCCTCAGCCTCTCAAGTAGCTGGGACTACAGGCGCGTGCCACCACACTTGGCTAATTTTTTTTTGTATTTTAGTAGAGACGGGGTTTCGTCATGTTGGCCAGGATGGTCCCAATCTCCTGACCTCGTGATCTGCCCGCATCGGCCTTCCAAAGTGCTGGGATTACAGGCATGAGCCACCACACCTGGCCTTCTTTCTCATTTTCTCTTGCCACCGCTACGTAAGAAGTGCCTTTCGCCTCCCGCCGTGATTTTGAGGCCTGCCCAGCCGTGTGGAACTGTAAGTCCAATTAAACCTCTTTTTCTTCCCAGTTTCAGGTATGTTTTTATCAGCAGCATGAAAATAGACTAATACAGTTTGTATTACATGGGTTTACATATGCATGTATAAAAGGCAAATGCAAGCATGCTTTCTTAAGGATTGATAATAAGCTATTTTCTTTCAGTGAATGGAAGAGCTTGATGTAGAAACACCTTTTTGGCCGGGCGCGGTGGCTCACGCCTGTAATCTCAGTGCTTTGGGAGGCTGAGGCGAGCAGATCACTTGAGATCGGGTGTTTGAGACCAGCCTGACCCACATGGAGAAATCCCATCTCTACTAAAAATACAAAATTAAGGCCAGGCATGGTGGCTCATGCCTGTAATCCCAGCACTTTGGGAGGCCATGGTGGTCGGATCATGAGGTCAGGAGATCAAAACCATCCTGGCTAACATGGTGAAACCCCATCTCTACTAAAAATACAAAAGAAAGCATAGCCGGGTGTGGTGGCACATGCCTGTAGTACCAGATACTTGGGAGGCTGAGGCAGGAGAATTGCTTGAACCTGGGAAGCAGAGGTTGCAGTGAGCTGAGATCACACCACTGCACTCCAGCCTGGGCAACAGAGAGAGACTCCATCTCAAAAAAAAAAAGAAAAAAAAAATTAGCCAGGCGTGGTGGCACATGCCTGTAATCCCAGCTACTCGGGAGGCTGAGGCTGGAGAATCACTTGAACCCAGGAGGCGGAGGTTGTGGTGACCGAGATCGCGCCACTGCACTCCAGCCTGGGCAACAAGAGCAAAACTCCGTCTCAAAAAAGAAGAGAAGAAAAGAAACACCTTTGTAAGCACACATGAAGAATATGTTATTAGACAATTTTCCTTTTTCCATTAGGCCCTATGATGTCAAGTAGAGAAATCCAGCAATAAAAGGCAGACGTAAGCATGCTAATTTTTTCTTTTTAAGATAAGATGTACTTATAGTGAAATGCCCAGTGCTATCAATTATGTATGCTTTTTATTTTCTACTAAATCTAACTTCCCAGGGTTGATTTTTGCAGCTTCCACTATACCAGGCTGTTTTTGTTTTTTTTTTGAGACGGAGTTTCGCTTTTGTTGCCCAGGCTGATACAATGGCACAATCTCGGCTCATCGCAACCTCTGCCTCCTGGGTTCAAGAGATTCTCCTGCCTCAGCCTCCCAAGTAGCTGGGATTACAGGCATGCACCACCACACCTGCCTAATTTTGTATTTTTAGTAGAGACGGGGTTTCTCCATGTTGGTGAGGCTGGTCTTGACCTCCTGACCTCAGGTGATCCACCTGCCTCAGCCTCACAAAGTGCTGGGATTACAGGCTTGAGCCACCGCTCCTGGCCATGATTTTGTTTTGTTTTGTTTTGTTTTTTTTTGAGACAGTCTTACCCTGTTGTCCAGGCAGGAGTGCAGTGGCGTGATCTCACTTCACTGTAGCCTCCACCTCCCAGAGCTGGTTCTCATGCCTTCGCCTCCTAAGTAACTGGGACTACAGGTCCCTGCCACCTTGCCCAACTATTATTTTTATTTTTATTTTTTTGTTTATGTTTTGAGGCAGAGTTTCACTCTTGTCACCTAGGCTGGAGTGCACTGGTGCAATCTTGGCTCACTACAACCTCTGCCTCCTGGGTTCAATCAATTCTCCTGCCTCAGTCTCACAAGTAGCTGGGAATACAGGCGCCCACCACCACGCCCAGCTAATTTTTGTATTTTTAGTAGAAACGGGGTTTCACCATTTTGGCCAGGCTGGTCTCAAACTCCTGACCTCAAGTGATCCACCCGCCTCAGCCTTTCAAAGTGCTCAGATTATAGGCGTGAGCGACCGTGCCTGGCTTCTTAAAATTTTTAGTAGAGACAGGGTTTCGCCATGTTGCCCAGGCTGGTCTTGAACTCCTGAGCTCAGGCAATCCACCCACCTTGACCTCCCAAAGTGCTGGGATTAGAGGTGTGAGCCACTGTACCCAGCCTTTTCATTTGTTGTTTTGTTTTTTTAACATAGACCTAATTTACTCCGGGTAGTTTTCGCCTTTTACAATTTTATTCTGTGTTGCTTATTTCTACTGGAGGTGATCTTTAAAAAACAGGTAAAATGTCAATGAGTTGTTTTGCTCTCTTTCTTAGTCCAGAAAAATGGTAAGAATCTATTGCTAAAGATAGATTTTGTTAGTATCTTTTTCCCCCCAGCAGATTTATCCTTTTTTTTCTTTTTCTTTTTTTTGAGACAGAGTCTCACTCTATCACCCAGGCTAGATTGCAGTGGCGTGATCTCAGCTCACTGCAACCTCTGTCTCCCGGGTTCAAGCGATTCTCTTGCCTCAGCCTCCTGAGTAGCTGGGATTACAGGCACTCGCCACCACGTCCAGCTAATTTTTGTATTTTTAGTAGAGACATGGTTTTACCATGTTGGCCAGGCTGGTCTTAAACTCCTGACCTCCAATGATCTACCCACCTCGGCCTCCCAAAGTGCTTGGATTACAGGCATGAGCCAGTACACCCAGCCCCCACCAGATTTATTCTAAGTGGCCGAGTGCAGTGGCTCATGACTGTAGACCGAGCACTTTGAGGGGCTGAGATGGGAGGATCGCTATAATCCAGGAGTTGGAGACCGGCCTGGGCAACGTAGCAAGACCTCGTCTCTACTAAAAATCACAAAAATTAGCTGGGCGTGTGTCAGAAGTCCCAGCCACTTGGGAAGCTGAAGTGGGAGAATCACTTGAGCCTAGGAAGTCCAGGCTGCAGTGAGCCATTATCTCACCACTGCACTCTAGCCTGGGTGACAGAGTAAGACCCTGTCTCAAGAAAAAAAAAAAGATTTGTTCAAAGCCCTAGCAGGCAAGGTGGTGCACTCAAACTGTCTTGTTGAACCTGGGGAGGTTGAACCTGGGGAGGAGACTGGCTAGGGAAGGGCAGAAGCAGGGCAGCAGAATCCCCCACCCTGGGAATGTGTGTCTCCAGCCCAGCAGGGGCCTTGGAAACTCCATACCTCTCACTGTGTCACCCCAATCCCTGGCTCTTACAGATGCGACCTAAAGTCATGTGGCACCTCCTTCGAAGGTACATGGCATCCCGGCTGCATTCCCTGCGGATGGGTGGCTACCTGTTCTCTGGCTCCCAGGCTCCCCAGTTGTCCCCTGCTCTGTTGAGAGCCCTGGGCCAGAAATGCCCCAACCTGAAGCGCCTCTGCCTACACGTGGCCGATCTGAGCATGGTGCCCATCACCAGCCTGCCCAGCACCCTGAGGACCCTGGAGCTGCACAGCTGCGAGATCTCTATGGCTTGGCTCCACAAGCAGCAGGACCCCACCGTGCTGCCCCTGCTTGAATGCATCGTGCTGGACCGCGTCCCCGCCTTCCGCGACGAGCACCTGCAGGGCCTGACGCGCTTCCGGGCCTTGCGCTCGCTGGTGCTGGGTGGCACCTACCGTGTGACCGAGACAGGGCTGGATGCTGGCCTGCAGGAGCTCAGCTATCTGCAGAGGCTCGAGGTGCTGGGCTGCACCTTGTCTGCTGACAGCACCCTGCTGGCTATCAGCCGCCACCTCCGAGATGTGCGCAAGATCCGGCTGACCGTGAGGGGCCTCTCTGCCCCTGGCCTGGCTGTCCTGGAGGGAATGCCAGCCCTGGAGAGTCTGTGCCTGCAGGGTCCCCTCGTCACCCCGGAAATGCCGTCCCCCACTGAAATCCTCTCCTCTTGCCTCACTATGCCCAAGCTCAGAGTCCTTGAGCTGCAGGGGCTGGGCTGGGAGGGTCAGGAGGCGGAGAAGATCCTGTGTAAGGGGCTGCCCCACTGTATGGTCATTGTCAGGGCCTGCCCCAAAGAGTCTATGGACTGGTGGATGTAACTACTCCACCTGTCCCTGGGAGCCATCCTAGCTTTCATCATTGAGCCCCAGACCCTCTGAGCAGCACTTTGAAGAGGGTAGATAATCAGACTTGAGGAAATTGAAAGCCCCAGGTTGACAGAACAGAGGCCTAGGGACCTCCAGACCATTGGAATCACTGTTTGCCAGCTGTGTGGCGTTGGTCATATCAACCTCTGGGAAGCCTAGTTCCCACATCTGGAAATAAGGATGATCATAGCTACCTCATGGTTACATTGCAAAGCCTTACTCTAAAAGCTCCCAGCCTCCAGAGGTTCTCGATGAAGTCACCTTCACGGTCGTCCTCAGGAATAGGACGGATGAAGAAGGGGTGAGGTTAAGACTTAGGGGCACCCGAGGGGCTGAGCCCCCTTATGAGTACCCAAGAAGGACTGTCTATGCATGCACACCCACAAACCTATATCCCATTTGTATACCTACACGCACGCAAGAGACGCGGAGAGATAGGCAACGCACAGTCACTATTCAATGATTGATATGCTCATAAAAGCTCTCAATTCTATTTTCTGTATTTTGTATGCTGTATTTTCCAAGACATATTATTTTGCTATTAAAGAAAAAAATCTTTTTTTTTTCCCAAGAAGTATTCGCTTTATTCATTCAACCAATGTTTCTTGAGCTTCTACTATTTTGCAGGCACTATTTTAGGTTCTGGGAAACTGGGCCACAACAATGAACAAAACTGACAAGACCCTGCCCTCATAGATCTCGTAGAGGAGAAGACAGGACAACAAACAGGTAAACCAATCCATGTTTTAATTTTTTTGGGCAGGGACAGAGCCTCACTCTGTCACCCAGGCTGGAGTGCAATGGTGCGATCTCGGCTTACTGCACCCTCCACCTCCTGGGTTCAAGTGATTCTCCTGCCTCAGCCTCCCAAGTAGCTGGGATTACAGGCGCCTGCCACTATGCCTAGATAATTTTTTGTATTTTTAGTAGAGATGGGGTTTCACCATGTTGGTCAGGCTGATCTCAAACTCCTGACCTCATGATCTGCCTGCCTTGGCCTCCCAAAGTGCTGGCATTACAGGTGTAAGCCACTGCGCCTGGCCACCATGTTGTAATTTTGGAGACTCTGAGCCAATACACCAGGGTCACGTGATGGAACCACACTTGCATGGTTAAGTGAGCAGGGCAGGCCTCTGTGCTGAGATCTGAGAGGTGAAGGGAAAGCAAAAGTCAGAAGAGCTAGGGGAAAAGAGGGAAGGCCAGCACTGCTTAGAATGAACTTGGCATTTTCCAGAAACGGAAAGAAGGTTGTGTGGCAGAATGAGCAGGGGGAAGAGCTGTCTAAAGTGAGGTCAGGGCCGGGCATGGTGGCTCACATGTGTAATCCCAGCACTTTGGAAGGCTGAGCTGGGTGGATGACTTGAGCCCAGGAGTTCAAGCCCAACCTGGGACATCTGAGGCAGGTGAGTCATTTTGAGTTCAGGAATTCGAGACCAGCTTGGTGAAACACTATTTCTACAGAAAAAAATTAGCCAGGTATGGTGGTGTGCATCTACCCAGCTACTCCCTGGTTTCCCAACTATTCAGGAGGCTGAAGTGGGAGGATTGCTTAAGCCTGGGACTCGGAGGTTGCAGTGAGCTGTGATCACCACTGCACTCCAGCCTGGGTGACAGCGTGAGACCCTGGTCTCAAAAAGAATAAACAAAAGGAGATAATGGGAACAGGAGTGGGCAGGGCCTCGCAGGTGGCTCAGGCTTTAGGGGTTCAGTAAGTAACAACTCCTTTTCCTGCCTTTCGAGTCTGAACCACTTGAAAGATGCAGGTGTCAGATTGTAATCGTGGGCGCCCACCCCTGAGATGAGCGTTGCTGTGTGTGGCTAAACCCTGGTTCTGTGGGTTCACTGCCGGCTCAGCAGGCCAGGATGCCTCCTCTGGTACTTAGAGCCAGGTTGGAGAAGAGGGCTGAGCTGGGTACACTTGGTTTCTTATTCCAAACTCACCCATCAGAGAAGAGCCGGAGGTGTTCCTCCCATGCTCTTCCCACTCAGAGTTGCAGTAGAAATTCCTTCTCTCTTGCTTTTTTTTTTTTTTTTTGACATTGAGTCTCGCTCTGTCGCCCAGGCTGGAGTACAGTGGCACAATCACATCTCACTGCAACCTCCGCCTCCCGGGATCAAGCAATTCTCCTGCCTCAGCCTCCTAAGTAGGTGGGATTACAGGCATGCACCACCGTGCCCGACTAATTTTTGTATTTTTAGTAGAGTCGGAGTTTCACCATATTGGTCAGGCTGGTCTCAAACTCCTGACCTTGTGATCCGCCCGCCTCAGCATCCCAAAGCGCTGGGATTACAGGTGTGAGCCACCGCACCCGCCGTTTTTTTTTGTGTGTTTTTTTTTTTAAATAGAGATGGTGCCAGGCATGGTGTGTCCCATGCCTGTAATCCCAGCACTTTGGGACACCAAGGTGGGAGGATCAACTGAGGTCAGGAGTTGGAGACCAGCCTGGACAACATGGTGAAACCCTGTCTCTACCAAAACTACAAAGATTAACTGGAACTGGTGGCACATGCCTATAATCCCAGCTACTCAGGAGGCTGAGGCAGGAGAATCGCTTGAACCCTGGAGTGGGAGGTTGCAGAGAGCCAAGATCGTGCCGCTGCACTCCAGCCTGGGCAACAGAGCGAGACTGTTTCAAAAATATAGATAGATAGATAGATAGATAGATAGATAGATAGATAGATAGAGAGACAGGGGTCTCCTTATGTTGCCGAAACTGGTCTCGAACTCCTGGGCTCAAGCCATCCTACTTCAGCCTCCCAAGTAGCTGGGACCACAGGAATGTGCCATCACGCCTGGCTAATTTTTATTTTTTGTAGAGATGGGGTCTCACTATGTTGCCCAGGCTGGTCTCTAACTCCTATGTGCAAATAATCCTCCTGCCTTGGCCTCCCAAAGTACTGGGATTACAGGCATGAGCAGCCTCACCTGAAATTCCTTCTCCATCTGGCCACACGAGGACTAGGGTATGAGTGTGCCCCTGATGTGGCCGTAGTCAGGGTCTGATTGTCCAGTGCTGTGACCAACCCCAGCAGCTCCAGCCCAGGACATCTGGGGCCTGGGTTGAACCAGGTAGAAACATAGAGATTGGTGAAGTCTCAGAGCCTGTAGGGGCAAGGAGGGAAATGAGGTCTGTTAGGCTTGCAGAGAGTGTGTGGAGTGCTGGAGTCAGTTTGGGAGAATATGAGGGTGACTCAACACCAACCCGGTGCTGGACTCTGCAGGCGGTTCTGGAAGTGCATTGCCGATGCCCCAACCTGGAACAACTCCACGGGAAAAAAGCTTCCTTTCTTTCTCCTCCCTACCTTTCCAGTAGGAAGGGAGCAGCAGGCATTAATTTTAGTTTTTTGTTTGTGTTTTGGAGAAGCAAGTCTCACTCTGTCACCCAAGCTGGAGTACAATGGTGCCATCTCAGCTCACTGCATCCTCTGCCTCCCAGGTTTAAGTTTCAGCCTGCCTCAGCCTCCCGAGTAGCTGGGATTACAGGCACATGCCACTACACCCAGCTGATTTTTATATTTTTAGGAGATGGGGTTTCACCATGTTGGCCAGGCTGGTCTCAAACTCCTGGCCTCAAGTGATCCGCCTGCCTTAGCCTCCCAAAGTGCTGGTATTACAGGTGTGAGCCGCCGTGACTGGCCAGCAGGCATTAATTTTGAAGCAGGTAAGTGTTTACCGGCAGTGCTAGCAGATGGGGGAGGAAGGTCCTGATCTGTAGCGTTTGCTGATTACTATCGTGTAAACACTGTCTGATCACAGCTGGTTTCAAGCTACCAACAGTTTAACAACTGGCTCACAAAATAATTGAAGATTCAGCATTTGGTTCTCTTGAGCCACAGCATACCACTGGTTACAGGTGTCTCTTCCTGGGCTTACCCTATGGAGAATTCATTCTGCCTTAGTGACCTCTAACATGGGCCCTGACCCGAGGGGTGATGGGGTGATGGGACATCAGACAGAGCTTTTCCCCTTTTGGGACCTCTCTGCCCCTGATCATTGCGTTCTGCCAGATAAGGGGCTGGGGGCTTCAGGGCTGCCCTCTACTGAAGGCAAAGCATAATCACAATAGCTGACATTTATTATTATTTTATTTTTATTTATTTATTTTGAGACACGGTCTTACTCCATCACCCAAGCTGGAGTTCAGTGGTGTGACTGTAGCTCACTGCAGCTTCAAATTCTGGGTTCAAGCAGTCCTCCCACCTCATCCTCCCCAGTAGCTGGGAATACAGGCATGTACCACCATACCTGGCTAATTTTTAAAAATAATAATAGGCCGGGTGCAGTCGCTCATGCCTGTAATCCCAGCACTTTGGGAGCCCGAGGCAGGCGAATCATGAGGTCAGGAGATCGAGACCATCTTGGCTAACATGGTGAAACCCCATCTCTACTAAAAATACAACAAATTAGCTGGGCATGGTGGTGGGCGCCTGTAGTCCCAGCTACTCTGGAGGCTGAGGCAGGAGAATGGCGTGAACCCTGGAGGCGGAGCTTGCAGTGAGCAGAGATCATACCACTGCACTCCAGCCTGGGTGACAGAGCAAGACTCCATCTCAAAAAAATAATAATAATAATAATTTTTTTTTTTTTTTGTAGAGACATGGTCTCACCATGTTGCCCAGATTGGTCTCAAACTCCTTGGCTCAAGCAATCCTCCTGCCTCAGCCTCCCAAAGTGGTAAGATTACAGGCGTGAGCCACCACACCCAGCCTATTGAGTGCTTCTTAAGTGGCAGGCAGTGTGCTCAGTCCTTCATGCATGGACTTCTATCAGCAGCCCACTGAGCGAGGAAGAGATGAAGACACTGAGGCACAGAGAAGTTAAGTTGCCCAAAGCAACATAGCTGGTAAAGTAGAACCTGAGTAATCTTACTCCACAATCTTGCCCAGGATATAAAGCTGCCATGCTGCCATGCAACAGTATCTGAAAGGGAGGCCCAGTAACTGGGCCCCATCAGGGGCTGTGAAGGCAGTCATGACTCCATCTTGGATGCCGACTGCCATCTTGACTTCCAGTTAACACAACTCCTGAGAACAACTCCAACATTTCTACGTTGTTGTTTTTTTGTTTTTTGTTTTTTGTTTTTAAGATGGAGTTTTTGTTCTTGTTGCCCAGGTTGGAGTGCAATGGTGCAATCTCGGCTCACTGCAACCTCTGCCCCTAAGGTTCAAGAGATTCCTGCCACAGCATCCTGAGTAGCTGGGATTACAGGTACCCGCCACCACACCCAGCTAATGTTTTGTATTTAATAGAAATGGGGTTTCACCACGTTGGTCAGGCTGGTCTTGAACTCCTGATCTCAGGTGATCCACCCACCTTGGCCTCCCAAAGTGCTGGGATTACAAGCATGAGCCACCGCGCCTCGCCTACATTTTATTTTATTTATTTATTTATTTTTGAGACAGAGTCTTGTTCTGTCTCTCAGGCTGGAGTGCACTGGCCCAATTGCGACTCACTGCAACCTCCCTCATCCGTGCTCGAGCAGTCCTCCCACCTCAGCCTCCCAAGTAACTGACACTACAGCTGCACACTACCATGCCTGGCTTTTTTTTTTTTTTTTTGTAGACATAGGATTT